GGATGAGATTTGCGGATTGCGTGTCTCTCAAATAATTATCCCACTTCCATTAATTACCTTATCCAGCGATAGATAAGGTCTCCTTTTCTTCTATACACCCCTTTTTCTTTTTATGCCCATTTCTTCAACTAGACGATAATCTACACCCTTGAAACGCCACTGAAAAATAAGGACAGATTTGGTCAGACACCGGTCACTATCAGCAACAAAAAAACTGATTCAACTCATGTAGAAAATAGGGGAAATAGGGCTAAAATGTCAAAAATAGGGTAAGTGCCCTGTAAATAGGATAAAAAGTTCACTCTGAAGTCATTCTAAGTTTATAAATAGTGTTGTTGGCGGCCGGTTATTAACCTGTACCCCGATTTTCGGTTAATCTAAATTTTAGAAACCCGGTTTTCGGTTTCGGGTTTTAGGCAAATACCGGTTTTATTTTGGGGGAATTTTAATAAAATCACTCATTTTCACAAATTTTCGGTTTTCGGTTCTTAAAATTTTTTAAAAACGACTAATTTTTTGCAAAAAATTTCAAAAATTCCGGTTTTAAAACCTGGAGCCAACAACCCTATTTATAAATTTTTTAGAAAAAAAGAAATTATTATAAGCATTTGAACTTAAAATTAATTAAAGTTTTGATTCATTTAAAAATTCGCTTATTAAATATAATATTTTTTTAATTACTTTATTTATTAAATTTATTTAAAAAAATTTTTTATTAAAAAAATTAAATTACATGGGGAATTTAATAAGACAATAGACACTTCAATATTAGACACAATGCTACTTGTCTTTTTTCGATAATTATAAGTAAATTCCCCATTAAAATAAAGCCAAAAATTAATTTTAATTACCAAAATTAGGGCTGATCGAAATTTCGACCTGTCAGGATCGGCCAGCCTGACCAGGAAATAAAATTTATTGCCAGACAATAAAATAAAGCAAAGACTGTCATCAGGAAAATTTTCCTAATTAAACAATGGAATTTAATATAAAACAATGGAAAAAGCTTTGTTAAGGAAATTAATTTAATAATCATAAGGCATTTACTAGACTCACGCCCTCCTCGAAGGGTGATGATTGCTGTTGATTTAGATTAATATAAAAGCCGAATTGAAAATGAGAGGAAACATCCAAAATTCAAATTCAACTAAAAAAACTTTTAAAACTCCTAAAAAATGTCAAAATTCTTTTTTGCCCTTGTAATAGTCACCATTGTTTTTATTCATTGTTGTGATGCTGGTGCTGGAAGGAAGACTTTAAGCAAACAAAATTCTATCCCTAAGTCTAGTTACCCTCGTCCTGATGACGGTTTCTAATTTAATTCTTGAAATGAGGGGAAAAAGAAACTTTTTTTCGGAAATTTCCAATCCCTTTCCTAAAGTTTATTCAGAACATTAGGAAAGGAATTCTCAAAATAATACTAGACAGAAAATAGGAGTGGGAAATTAAATTAGGGAAGGAAATATTTTTTCTGAGGATATTTTTAATTTAAAATCAAAAGTTACAATCTACTCGAAGATAAAGGCTAGCACAAATGTAGGCAAAAAATAATTTGTAACTTGAAAAGAGGCTAAACCCCGAAAAACCGGATTTTATCAAAATACCCGGTTTCTGGGCCGGGCCCGGAAAACCCTGTCCCGGTCCGGGTTCGAACTCTTAATTACATTAAATATTTTAGGGAATGGTCAACAACAATCGGCAACTGAAAAGAAAAAGAAGGGTGAGTAATATGTTTGTAATTTGGTGTGTTGTTGGGAAGCCATTGTTTAGGGTCCCCCTATGTTGTGTCCGCACTTGCAGAAAGAATATAAATGAAAATAAATAATCCATCATCGGGTTGGATGGTGGCACAGTCGGTTGTGCTTTCGGTTCGGGCCCTTTCCGTGATGGTTCAATTCCATCTCCCATCCACAATTTTTCCACAGCATGAACATCGTATACAATACCCTATTTTCCCGTATTTTTTCCTTATACATATGTACAGAAGGGTCAGACTTCCTGCCTCGGATTCCCCTCCATCTGCGTGCCCTTCTAATAAGGATGGCGGTTCCTGGGAAATCTCCGGAACCGGTATCCGAAGTTTTTTTGGTTCCGGATACCCGGAACCGCCAACCTTACCCTCTAATATAATTTGAGGGGATAATAATATAATTCCCTCTAAGATCCCATCTCTAATGAACATTGAAAAAGCGTTCGATCTGCTTGAAGGCTCCCATAAGTATATGACTCTTACCGAGTTAAGCGTTCCGAAACTTTTATTTCTTCTCAACAAATTATAAAAGCTATGCTTAATTCATAATTTTAGGTAACCAAGATCAAACGCCTGAACAAAAACATTTAAATGATCTTTATGGCCACGCTACTGGAGTTGATCAATATGGCCATCTTTATGGTTGATCATCGTGATGATTATGAAGTTTGAAGATATTTTCTCGAAGAAAGTTGAAGATTTATTTTTTAAATCATTTTCCGTAACATTTCGATCAACGATTATCGATATTCGATATATGTATATATTTATTCTCTAAAAATTTTTCGTAAGCATAAACAAAATCTTGGGTATGACTTGAAAAAATATTATTATAGCCATCCCAACAAGTTTTCTTCAATACTTGTTGATAAAACAAAAATGAAACGGAACAGATAAAAGCGTTGTTGTTTCAAATAATGTTGGCGGATCCGGATCCGAAAAAGTGCCGGATATCCGGAAATTTTCGGTTCGGATCCAGATATCCGAAGATTTCCAATTATCCACCAACCTTAGTTTCAAAGCCCAGCAGCTGCGCCCTATTTTAGCGTTTTGGAAGGGGCCACCCTGGCAGAAATAGAAAAAAATGTTAAATATTTAATAAATCAGAAGACTTGTTCAAGTTCCGAAAAGCGTTTGAGACAAGTTTCAACCAGTGGTTGGAATTTTGAGGATTGAGGTATTAGAGTACGAATTTTGGCACGAGCTTCCAAACACTGGAAGGGGCCACCCTGGCAGAAATAGAAAAAAATGTTAAATATTTAATAAATCAGAAGACTTGTTCAAGTTCCGAAAAGCGTTTAAGACAAGTTTCAACCAGTGGTTGGAATTTTGAGGATTGAGGTATTAGAGTACGAATTTTGGCACGAGCTTCCAAACACTGGTTTCAACCTTCGATACACGTATGAATGTCGGTTGAGTGGTCATCTCGAATTCACCCCAAAAGAGCTACACCCCAAAAAACTTTGATCATAAGATTTACAACTTTTGAAAAAGATTATTGTGGGATTTAGAAGGATTAAAGGGGCCTAAATACTAATTCTATGAAGATAAGTACCGGTTCTGTATTATAGAACCGATATAAGGCGGAATTGTGAGCGTATATCATAACTCTGATTTGTGAGAGTAGAGATCTCTATCACCTTCAATCATACCAAATTCATCGATATTCACTTTGAAAATTGCAGGTCTTTTGAGTCGAAAGTTATTTAGGGAATAGGTCTTAAGGTTTGACACGGTCATCTCTACTCTATTTTAGTCCATCCTCAATCCACCCATTTAGCTAACTTTCCAAGCACTTAAATATACATTATCGAAAAATTTATTGAAAATAATAGCAAAAATTGGTGTGTGTTGGTATTTTTTTATTGAATTTTTTTAAATTTTTTATCCGTATTTTATAGGTATTTTTCCAAATAATTCCCAATTTTCACTTCATCTTCGAAAATTCCCCTCTTTAGCAATTACAACTGTTTTGACGTTGTTGTGAAGTTGATGGTGCTCTCAGATTTATTTGATCAGGAAATGCTTTAAATTTAAAAAAAATTATTAATAAAACACAAATTTTTTTTATTATGACGCCCCCACCCTTTCATCCATCCTCTTCTCACTACGTTTTCTCTTATACGTCAAGTCAAGTCGGTCCCAACTGCAGGTGTTGTAATAGTAAGCTTAAATTACAATGGAAGATCCCTATAACGTCCCCATCTATGTCACCTTCCTTATAAGTCTGAATGACTCAGCCCCGAAGGATGTTTTTCTCTGATCTGACGTTATTTCCAACGGCTCATACTCTTTATGTAGAAAAATTAGACCGAGAGGGGACGTGTAGCCAACCTTCTGAAATTTTTCTTAATTAAATGTAACTCTTGGGTGTTTCTCTAAAATATATTTTTAAAATTAATTTTTTTACATGGATTTTCAGTTTCCTGGGCATCACGTGCAAGCGCAGCCTTTGCAATTTCCATAAATGCTTTAAAAATAAATTTTTTCAATTATAAATTAATTTGATTAAAATTATTGCCTGAGGCAAATAATAACTTTAAAAGGTAAGTTTCCCAAATTCGGTTCATCTTTATATTTTAAAACAGGTTTCTCGGAGTTCTTCTACCCTTACATTCACACCCAAATATAATTTAATTTGCGGATAAAACTAGCGGACTTTTGGCCGCATAAAGGGAATTTTCTCCAGTGAATAATTTTTCCCCAAGTAAAAACAATTTAATTTAAAGGCAAGCCCATACAAGTTAAATTATTTAGAATTTACCTTCATCCACATTTAATGCCTCCTTTGCGGAAACCTATAAAAGAAATTTTAAGTTAAACACCCAAAAGAAAGTTAAAAATGGAAAGACTATGTATGAGGGATAATCCAACCAGAAAAAATAAATAGGCTGACAACTCCCACAAAAAACTGACGTTAATTTAAGTGTCTTATAGTGGTGTCAGACTGGGGCTGAAATTGCAGATATTAGATTCTTCCGCACGGGTATCGGATAGGGTTCCGGGTATTACGACCGGAGGTGTCCGAGATCTAGCTAATGTTGACGTGCACAAGAATACAATTTATCTGGTGTAGAAATAAACAATGAAGGCGAAGGTGGAAAGGGCTTGGACAGACTAGCCGCGCTAGTATGATTCAACTAGACTGATGCTTTCACTGGCTTTTATACTATAGCGATACCACTACACAACACCGGGTATCAAATATTTCCAGGGACTTCTGACCCTAAATCAGAACTATCCGTTAAAATTAAATAACCTCAAAATAAGGCATATTACACTTTGACTGGCACCACCCTTCAGCCCGCTTTGCATGTATGGCTCTAGCAGCTTCATTATCGACTTTGTTTCCGAGCAAAACAAACGGAAAATTTTCTGGATCCCGAGGACTTGCTTGAACCAAAAATTCGTCTCTCCAACTTTCCAAGTTTTTGAAAGATGGAGCGTAAGTTAAATCATAAACCTGAAACGTGGCAGAAATAAATTCTGAGCAAAATGTGAAAGAGAAAAGGCTCTATGAGGAGAAACCAGTTGGGGAAGGGAGGGAGTCGATCAAAAAATTTTACGGGTTTTTTGCGAGAGAATTTGATGAATTTGAAAAAGAATTGTGTGAATCGATCGATTTTCCACGAAAACCCAGAAAAACATCTAGTCATCATAGCTAGGGTCCAGGCCACAAGGATAAAAAGAACAAAAATCCACCAACCTCCCAAGACGAATCTTAAACATTTAAAAAATTGGTATTTTCCGTTATACGACCGCAAAATGTGTCCCCAACCGATTTTGATCGGCTTTAACTTTTTGATGCTTGATCCTATAAAAATAAGTTGCAAATCAAATTCCCTCGATAAAAATTCGGCTTGCACTCAGTTTGCGGTCGTATAACAGAAAAGAACCAAAAAATTTTCATACCAAAACGCAGCAATCAGCCCCACGGTAAAAAGCTACTCCAAGTGATTGAAAACGTTCTTGACCAGCCGTATCCCAAATCTGACAAAATAAATTAAAAATAAGCCAAAAATTTTTTTAAAAAACCTGCATAGTCACAACCCTATCATCAATTGTAATGTCCTTTGTGAGAAAATCAGCACCGATTGTGGCCTTGTATTGATTGCTAAATCGTTTATTGACATACTGGTTCATCAACGAGGTTTTTCCGACGCCAGAATCTCCTTGAAAAATAATTTAAAAAATTTTGAAAAATTGTGGGATCAAATGCAGGGCTCTCATCGACAAAATGCCAATCAAAAGTACAAAAATCTTGATTTTAAAGTACATAGGGACAAAATTTTCAAATTTAAAGTACACTCAAAATTAAATTCGAAAATATTTATTCGTCCTCAAATCTTTTATATTTCTCTCCTAAATGAATCTTTTCTAATAATTTATTGCTTCCACTGAGCATTTTGTGCATTTCAATGCATGACATGTCAAAATTCGCTGACACAAGAAGTAAAGCCTGACAGTCTTAACCTCAAGCAAGCTACTTTCTTTCGTCCATTTTCAGCGCCGCAGGCGAAAATTTTGAGAATTTTAGAGCTCAAGAAGCCATATTTCTTCCATTTTTAGCGCCGCAGGCAAAAATTTTTAAAATTTTAGAAGGCCGTAGGCAAAAAAATTCACTTTTTCAGCAGCGCAGGCGAAAATTTTTTGAAATTTGGAGCCCAAGAAGCCAGATTTCTTCCTTTTTCAGCGCCGCAGGCGAAAATTTTGAGAATTTCGAAGGCCATAGGCCAAATAAATTACTTTTTTGCCCAATGTCTTCCCCAATTTCATTTTCAATCCAAAATTTTGATTTTAAAGTACATACTTTCAATAAAGTACAAATTCAATTTTGTAAGTACGGAGGTCGATTTTAAAGTACTGTACTTTCAAATAAAGTACGAATGAGAGCCCTGATCAAATGTCACCATCCAGTTTTTTCAACTAATTTATAAAGAAAAGAATAATTTTTGGAATATCTGGACTGCTAAGCATCTTATGTAGTGCTAGGCAACCTAAAATAGTCATTGGAGCGATTTTATAAAGTGATTTAAGCAAATTCCTTAAAGGTGACAGTTGATCCCAAAATTTATTTTTTCTTAAAATCCTCAATTTTTCTAACCTAAAATGATCACTTTCAACAAAATCTTCTTTTTTGGACTGCTCATAATTTAAATTTGTTGATTGATAAATGAAGAAATGTAAATAAATGTCAGCAAAGTGCCTGATTTTACAGAATTATTTTTGTCAATTTGAAGTGTACAAGAAAAAATCGATTAAATAAAACAGTCGTTTCTCTTATCTAAAAATAATTTAGGAGGAAATTTAATCGGCAAATGGTTGACTAATACTGGAAAAACAGACTAATAAAAAATTATTATTGATATTTTGAATTTTAGATATTTTGAAAATTCGACATTTTGAAATTTTCTAAAAAGTTCTATTTAAATGGAGCTAATGTCGAATTGTGAGCGTTTTTAGAATTCACTTTTAAGAACTTTGACATGAATGTAAAATGATTATTGTCACAAGTTGCTTGGAAATAATATAGGAAGACATTTCGTCCAACTTTGGAGAGGAAGGGTATGTTCTTTATAAAATTAGAAAATTAAATCAATTAATTTTATAAATTCAGATAAAAATTCTTTCGTACAAAAGTTTATGATGAGAAAAGAAGTCTGAAAGAAACAAAAAATTGTTCTTCAATCAACTAGTTATTTGCCGATAAAAAAAGAAAATTGCTTCAGAGTAAAACGAGCTATAAAAAGGACCTAAACTGGCTTTGTTTATTCTCTCTAACTACATTACTCTTCTATAACATAGCGGTGAGAGAAGACATGTGAGTATGACAGGCACGTGAATTATTTTTCTGAGAGAGAATTAATAAAATATTTCATTTTGTCAAATATTTTAGGTATTACAAAATGTCAACTATTACAAAATATCAAGCATCACATAATGTCAACTATTACATAATGTCAATTTCAAATAATCTCATTTTCAAATTGTCAAGTTTACAGAATATCATTTTATAATGCCAAGCGGTGCATGCCTCACTAGGCGCGCGGCCACAACGGCGCAAAGCCATAACTTGCTTGAAAATTTCTGGCCCTTAACAATTTTGGTACCTATCTTTTTAGCTCGATGAGAGGAATCGTTTAATACTAAATTTGGTAAGATTTGGAAATCTTGAAGCAAGTTATGGCTTTGCGCCGTTGTGACCGCGCGCCGACTTCAGCTGTATCTTGTCAGTCAACCAAAAATGTCAGAAAATGATAACTCATTCTCGATTAATGTTAGCACATACGTATATTGTAAAGATAATATCAAATCTTAAAATGTTTAACTGAGTAAATATTAAATAATTTCTATCGACATGTTTGCCAGTCTTTAACAAAAATGCGCTTCTTCACCCATAAAGCGTGACCATCAAAAACATTTTTTCTCCTTTTTAGCAGGAGAAGCAATTGATTTGTGTATTCATTTTGTCGCTAAAATGAATAGCTTTTTATATAAGGGAATGAATAAATAGCTATAAGCTAATTGAAAAAAGTTGTTAAAAGAAGCGGAATAATTTCTTTATTTTTCCTTTCTTTTTGCGCATTAAATGCAACCTTTAATTTTTTAAATTTGGTTTTTGAATTTATTTTAGTATAATTTATAGTATTTAAAATTGGATATAGTGTAGTGTACCGGTGGTAAAAGTTCGGGACGTGACATATGTCATTCGATTCGTCTCGACGAGCTGAGTCGAATGGTACAACTCTCAACTTTAGGAAATGATTCTGGGCCGAGTTATAGGTCCCGAAAAATTGAAAAACCATAGGGGGGAGTAAGCTCGATTTTGGGTTGAAAAATTCAAATATGCAAATAATAGCTCATTCGAAAGAGCTCGTCGAGCTGAGTCGAATGACACCAAAATCAGCTTGATTGAACAAGTTGGAGTCGAGATATAGGGCTCGAAATGGTCAAAACCCATAGGGCGGATTTTAGGGTCAAAAATTCGAAAAAGCATGTAATAGCTCATTCGAAAGAGCTCGTCGAGCTGAGTCGAATGATACCAGAATCATCATGATTGAAAGAGTTTGGATAAAGTTACAACAGAAAAACAATCAACATAAACCTATGGGGCGTCGGCGAGGCGCTTGTGCAAAACCCCGCGCTTCGCGCGGGGTTTTGCGGCACGCGCCTCGCGGGGAGTCTACGGGCGATGGGTCTGGGTTCGTAACATAAACCTACTCCCATCTCCCTTGCTCTGAATGTACTTGGGGCTCCAGTAACAGCAAAAACCTGCACGTAGACCAAAGGTAAGGAGCTAAAACAAATGCTCATAACTTTGTCAAATCAAGTCAGATTTCGTTGATTTTGGTGTCATTCGACTCAGCTCGACGAGCTCTTTCGAATGAGCTATTATTTGCATATTCGAATTTTTCACCCCAAAATCGAGCTTACTCCCCCCTTTGGTTTTTCAATTTTTCGGGACCTATAACTCGGTCCAGAATTATTTCCTAAAGTAGGGAGTGGTACCATTCGACTCAGCTCGTCAAGACGAATCGAATGACATATGTTACATCCAGAACTTTTACCACCGGTACACTACACTACAGCCTTAAAATTTTTTAAAAAATTTTTTCGTTGATTTTTAACACTGTGCTTTAGTTTATTTGATCATGATTTAGGAGGAATTCGACTAGGGTTGTATTTTTCGAACTGACCGTTCGAGTCTTTTTTGGGCCTCATTTCTTCGGGCCGGACCGGTTGAGTCTTTTTCGGGCCAAAACTCGAGGTCGGTTCGATCATTCGAACCGAACCGAGCCGCTTTCCTAAACTCGACTAAAAATTTTTTTTTGAATTTTTAAAATTCATTTTTATAATTTTTAAAATTTTTTACGTTTATGTTCTGTATTTTAGTTTACATAAGAGTTCGGCGATTAGAGATGGACGCATCTCAAAAAAATTTTTTTTTAATTTTTATTTTTTTGCTTTGCTCTTTTTTACTTCATTTTTGTAGCAAATTTAATTCTCTATCAAATTAACAAAAAAAAATTAAAAAAAATTGTTTTGATAAAAAGATAAGAAAAATGAACGTTATAGTTTAGCTCAACGTTCATTTTCAACGTTTATTTGCCCAATTCCGCATTCATTTTTTGATCAATTTAAAAAATAAAATTTGAAAGGGAGATCATTCTCTCCCTTTTTCTCACTAAATTTATAGATTTCCTATACTTTCCCAAAAATTATTATTATTTTTGTGTGTTTGAAATTGCTAAGGGAAAATGAATGAAATTAATGATTGTTGTGTTGGTAAAAAGCGCAAAAGTATAAATTAAGGAAAAAAAATTTTTTTAGAAAGGTTTTATAGCGGTGAAAGATGAATGAGCGTTTATTATTTTATTTATATTTACTTTATTTCAACGATTGGGTGAAATAAAGTAAAGAAACATTTTTGTTTTAGACATAAAACCTTTTAGTTTTTGTTTTGCCCAATTTTCGGTTTATTTTCATGTTATTCTACTTAATATTCATTTTTTGTTAATTTTTAACGGAAATTATTTAATTACAAAATAGAAAAATTTAATTTTAATCAGTTTATACAATTTGAATATTAATTTACTTAGAGTGGGATTGGGAGAAGGAGCATACACAATACAAAAAAAATTTTTACATAAGGAATCCGGCTCATTGCGTTTTGCATTTTTTGCAATTGTCATCTTCGCTCGCCCAATTTAAATAAATAAATGTAAAAAATGATAAGTCGGATTACCCAAAATCAGACCTGAGAAATTTTCGAAGAACCTAACCGTCGCTGCATGATAGCTCTGATTATGATCATCCACGATCTCTGAAGAAGTTTTACTTTCCTTACAATTTTCCAAATATCTCAATCCTAAATCTCTTTTAAATTCAAAAAAGTATTTGCGAAAGAGAACTAAGTGTTTGGAAGTTTTAGGCCCGGTGTATTATTTATGTGACATCTTGGAAGAATTTAGTTAAGTTCCTGCAATGATCACTTGGTTCAAATTTATAGCATACAATTTATTAATGTGATCATCTTTAATCTTTTTTAAGGATGTTGATTAATGCCTCAAGCCATTGTTAAAGATCCAACCTTGGCGAGAGTAATTAATCTAGTACTCGTTTAAAATAAAAATTATTTAGGGTACTTATTGGTTATCCAAAGTAGTTTTTGCGGACATTTTATGCGGACTCATTTTTGCACGGAATGGTCAAAGCTTCTTCCGCCCAACAAAGCAAGAAGGTTCTTCCTTCCTCGATTTCACTCAATTTTCCTTGTGGCTTCATCCAATGAGCGCAGGGAAAATTTAGAAAATCGAGGTAGAAAGAACCTTTGACCATTCAATGCAAAAATGAGTCCGCATAAAATGTCCGCAAAAACTACTTTGTGATAACCAAAAAGTACCTTATTTTGAATTAATTTTAATTTTAAAGTATTCCCCACTATTTATTTATAAAAATATATTCCTCCAAAAAATCAAAAAAAAAATATTTAAATCCAAAAAATAAATGCTAACAACTTCAATTTCATTAAAATGCCACCAACAACCACCACAAATCCCCATAACAACCCTAAATCTCCAAAAAATTCCAGAGCCTTCAAAAACAACAAAAATAGTAATTGAAGATTATGACCCAACAACCTCTTACTCTCCCCCATTATACGACTCTTCCACCTCAAATAGTTGCTCACCAGATTCGTCAGAAGAAGCTTCTACTTCCTATTCTGATGAAAAAGAAAATAATTTTTGTAAAAATTGTTTTGATAAAAAGGAGGAAATTAGGGAAAATAAAAATTCTGAAACAACAGAATGGGCAATTAGACCCGATGCGAAATGGAAAGTTAGGTCGATTGGGCTATTAGCTGCGATTTTACCTGGTAAAATTTAATTTTTGTAAGTTGGAATGATGAAATTTTGACAATAGAATATGTACTTATTAAATTCCTTCACCTTACCTTTTCCAATTTATTTATTTATTTTTGGATTTTTAATATTAGTTTGAGTTCGAGACCAGACAAAAATTTTTGGTCGCTCTATGACAGACGACTCGTAGACAGATGACTGAGGCAGACGATTTATTACTTATTAAAATTTTAAATATTGAAATTATTTCCTGTCTCGGTTGAGAAGAAACAGCCTTTTATCCATACCCCAACCCAGGTTGGGGTCTTATAAGCGTCGGTTGTTCTGTGTTTATGACCATTACACTGGACTTATAAAAATAAAGGTTTTAGGTTTTATGAGTTTTAGAAAAAATTCTGATTTTAAAAATTCTGATTTGAAAATTCTGACATGTTCTAAAATTAAAACATCCTTCAGGTATCGCCTGTTATTTATGTCTGGCATATTCATTTACATTGCAATATGACCGTATAGCTAATTTCACAATTCCCTCAACAATGTGTCCGGTATTTTAATTAATTTAGAATTATTTTTTCTCAATCAAAAAATTAATTTAAGGGTCTTAAAAGTATTTTTCCTCCCGTCAGTTATAGGTAAATAAATTGGCTAAATTTAATTTTTTAATTTAGCAATTTAAAGTATTGGTGTTTGGAAGCCACAAAAATATATTTGGCTAATGGTAGATTATTTTTAAATCTTTTAAAAAATTTTTTTAATTTGTTATCTTCTAATTAAATCAGAACTTTTTTTAACTTAATAAAATTCTGATTCTACTTGTTTTGTTAAATTAATATTTTGATATTTAAATAATTCTGATTTTATAAATTCTGATTTAAAAATAAAAAATTTCGGTTTTATACATAATTCTGATTTTTAAGAATTCTGATTATATGTATAAATTCTGATATTTAAATAATTCTGATCATAAAAAATTCTGATTTGAATAATTCTGATTTTAATAGAAAATCTGATTTTAAAGGAAATTCTGATTTTATAATTCTGATTATAAATAATTCTGAATTCAAAATTCTGGTTTTTATTATTCCGATTGTCGTTGCTTATCCTAGCCATTAATAAATTAATTTAAAAAATTCCTTTAATAATAAAAAATTAAATTTTTCAAAGGTTTTAGCAATGCATTTACCTCCTCGTTTTTTCTATGCCATTGTTAGTTTAATTTATGTATAATTGAAAATTATTTTTAAAAAATTAAAAAGGTCTATAAAAATCATTATTCCTTGGGTGACTCTATTCACAGAACAAAACGTTGGTTTTGCGTGATAGTTAAATTGCACTATTTTTTATTGGTTATTGAAGCGTTGGGACTAACTGCAGTTTCTGTGATTGATATTGAAAGCAATTTTAGTTGGTTTTTATATATGAGAATATAATTAAAATTCTGATTTAATCAACTAATTCTGATATTAAAACTTTAATAAAAATCAGAAATTCTGATTTTTAATTTAAAATTATAATAACTCTGATTTTTTAAATTCTGATTTTGGATAATTCTGATTTTAAATAATTCTGAAATTCCGATTCTTTTTATTCTGATTTTATTACTATTAAATAAAAAATCAGAATTTAATATAATAATCAGAATTAAAATGTATTAAAATTCTGATTTTATAAACTAATTCTGATTTTTAACCTTTAATTAAAAATCAGAAATTCTAATTTTTAAATTAAATTATAATAATTCTGATTCCGATAATTCTGATTTTTAAAAATTCTGAAATTCCTATTCTTTTTATTCTGATTTTGTAAAAAACAATTTATATGGTTCTATTTATTAACAAAAATTCCTCTGAAAAATTCTGATTTAATTAACATTAAATTCTGATTTTAAATATTTTAATTTAGTCAGAAATTCTGATTTTTTAAGTTCTGACTTAAAAATTCTGATTTAAAAAATTCTATTTAAAAATTCTGAATTAATAATTCTGATTTTATTATTCTGGTTTTCTCGATTATAATTAACTCTTAAATAAAAATCAGAATTTAATATAATATTCAGAATTAATATTTATCAAAATTCTGATTTTTATTTTATTCTGATTTATATCCAATAACTAATTTAATTCTGAAAATATTTTTCTGAAATAAACTACAAGAACACTTAATTATAAAAATCAGAATAAAAATTAAAAAAAAATTCTGATTTTAACAAAAACACAAAATAATTAAATTCAGAAGTTCACGCCTTCTGTTTTGCTTTATGGCTTATCCCATTTAATTTAAATATGTTATTCAACAATCTTTTGCATTACCATTCTGGAATTAGAAAATTAAGACCGATGGCTAGTTTATTTTTAAAATTAATTTAAAAAATATTTTTAAGCACGATAGAGTTTTTCAAATAAAATGCGCCTTATTTCTTGTAGGCTATCCCCTATCTATGTCAACGGGGTTTTCTTATTTAACTTTTGTGCTAACCTGCAACACAATACGTAAGTTAAAGATGTTGAAATATATTTTGATTTGATATGGTTAAATATCCTTAAAGGGCGGCTAAATTATTTTTCTGTGTCCGCAAACAAAATTTTGGAGTTTTTCGGGGCTCCAAATTTTTTTTATTAAACTGTTTTAATCTTTTACGATAATCTCATGAAGCTTTTCTAAATTAAATCAATCATAAGGCCATTAACTCAGAATTCTTCCTTTTTAGTACCAGTCGGTTCGACGGATATCTGGGAACTTTAAAAGATATCAAGTGATCCTTTGATATGCCCAAGTTCCTTAATATCCTCTCCAAATTCTCTCACAATCCTTAAATAGTAATACTGATGGAGAGGAATAATACGATAGTTACAACTATCTTTAATTACATGGTCACCAGAAAGTCTCAGAAAGTTTTCGATTTGAATAGAGTTATTTTATAAATAACGTGTGCAATTACTTTCTGGCCACCCTATAGTCGTCATTTTGAAATATTTTTAATTTAAAGCATATGCAACTTTCTCGATAGCTGAATATTTTCTTATCGGTATAAATTCATTGTTTTATTTTCTTCTAATTTGGGAGTTTGACGGCACAAAATTGGAAGTTTATGTTAAACACAGAAAGCCTATTCTTGTTAGAAATCAACAAAGAATGATGGAATTAAGAAAAAATAAATTAAAAAATAATGAGAGCTAATACTATTTATTAACATTAATTGGGGGGTATTTTAATATAGGAAGCAGCTGTCTAAACGTTGTGGTATTGACTTGCCTATCTAAATTCTCATTATTTTATTATTTAATCTTTTACTGTTATTATCAGACCTGCTCGTGGACACGGATACAGATAATATCAAGATGCCTGCGGAAATCCGCCTGTATCCGCCGTAAATATCCGGATACGGATACTAAAATCAGTATCCGTGAGCAGGTCAGGTTATTATAGGGCTAGGATTTATATGGACTAAGAATGGGGCTTATTGAGAAAAAAAGTTGGGGTTAGGTTACAAGATTTGCTTTGGATCGGAGTTTGGGTCGAAAGGGTAATCCAATCATCACTGATATGGACTATAATTCGAAAAATATGGATAAGATACTGATTGATAACTCAAAAACGACCTTATCAGCATATACGCCAAAACAGTCTTCTAGAAATTTCAGAACCTAATGGGACCAGGAAAAAATATTTAAATCCATATAAATCCTAACCCAAATTTATTATAACTAGGGCTCGGATTTGTATTGAAATATATTTTTTTTCCTGAATATATTATGGCAAGAGAAGCTCAAATATGCCATTAGTTTTTCGATATTATGATTTTGAACAAAGTTACATTTCAATATATTTCAATATTTTGCCAATTTTCCAGTTATTTCAATATTTGGCACATTTTTCAAATTATTTCAATATTTTTGCATATTTTTACCAAAATTTAGGGATTTTTCATAAATTTTAGGAAAAAAGTGAAGAAATCTGGCCGCCTGACAACCAAAAATCTCATAATTTTTGCCTGCGGTGCTAAAAATGGAAAAATTTGGCTTCTTGGTCTTCCAAAATTCTCAGAATTTTTGCCTGCGGCGCTGAAAAGGGGATATTATGGCCTATTATTCACTACAGTACATTTGCATTCCCACTAATTATTCCCTAGACATTCTTCGTAACAGGATAAAAAATTCTTAATTAACAAAAATCTCAAAATTTGTTGGGCAAAACCTCAAAAATGGCACATTGAGCAAAACCCACTAAATGTCCCACCTCATTTTGTCAATCGCAAAATGTCTAAGAGCGTAAAGTTACTCAATTCGTCGGGCTATAAAGCAAATGTGAAATTTTAAAAACGTGATTCATTTTTTTGTCAAATTTCAACTTTTTTGGGGAGTTTTCTAGTGAATAAACGATAATTTATTTCAATATTTCACTAATTTTTGTCATTTTATGTCAATATTTTGCCCACTTATTTCAATATTTTATGGCCATATTTTGCGATTTTATTTCAATATAAATCCGAGCCCTAATTATAACTCGTATCATTCTTTTATTCTGTCAAACTCAACCCTTGGGCTATAATAGGAACACATTTAAGAAGTATTCTATACTTTTCTGAACCCCTATAAAATTAATTTGATGCTTGATCACATACATTTTTTTGCTCAATTTTTATGTATATCTGTATAAATTAGTAAACATTTTTAAATCGTGATAACATGGAGGTTAGGGGGATAAATAAAATTAAACAATAACAATTTGTTCGAAAATTTTTTATAAAAGACAAATAAAAGCTAAAAAGCTTAACAATAATCTTAACAAATAAAAAAAACTAAAATGCAACAATGTTAGTAGGATAACGTACCGCGAGCTCAATGTCCGCCAAGCTAATATTAGTTAAGAATAGTCGAATCCTGGACGTATGATGTTCGATTCAGCTTGTCGAGGCACATCGAAACATATCAGAACGTCATGGGTTCGATAATTTTGAACCTAGTTAAAGCTAGGCGATACAGTTGGGCTTGTGGTACATTGGGATGTATCTACAATAAATCTAGA